ATATATATATATATATATATATATATATATATATATATATATATATATATATATATATATATATATATATATATATATATATATATATAGCACGCGAATGCAGAGAACCGGAAATAGGCGCTACATTCCAATAAAAAAATAAAGAAATGAAACAATTGTGACGAAATGAGTTAATTTGTCCTTTAATAACTCATGTTTCACTCCGACCTCGGCTAGTCTCGTTGAGCTCACGGGTGGTTCGCTCAATCGGAGGGATAAGTGAAGGATAGAGGGAGGGTTAACGATATTAAACCGACCGTACTGATGTTGGTAAAATAACTATATATTAACTTTAATTTATACACGGTAATGTTTAATGAGTCGGTATAACGCGGTTCTTGACTCGACTTTGGGACCTTGACTCGACTTTGTTATTGGTTGGCTGAAGGCCTGAGCTCAGAGATCCGCTCTGTTTCGCTCCTGATCGGACTCTGACGTACTCTGGTGCTTCCCGAGTCGTCCAAACTCGTCAAAGTCCCAAAATGCTTACCTAAGCAATCCCACGGTTTTCTTCACTAATACGGTTTTGTGCATTCGTTTGTATAGAAACCTACACAGTCAAACAGTTCAGCACCCTGAACTGGAGAAACCTCGTTTCCCATTCCCATCGTCCACCACTTTGGGCATAATAATTATAATTATTAAATAAATCGACGTATTGATCGAGCTCAATACGTCACACAATAAAAAATAAAGATAAGAACTAAAAAATTCCAATAAAAAAAATCAATTGTTTTTTTTTCAGAAATTACTGATGAATTATTAGCAGCACAACTGTTCATATTCTTTGGCGGTGGCTTTGAGACATCTGCAGGTGCTATAAGCAATACACTCTTTGAATTAGCGTTGAATCCTTCGGTTCAAGAGAAGTTGCGGGAGGAAATTCATGAGACGTTGGCGACAAATGGCGGGAAAATGACATATCAGAGTATCAAAAGAATGGAATATCTCGATAGCGTCATCAAAGGTTTGTGACAATACCTTGTTCAAAGGAATAATTTTTCCCCGTTGTTTGATGATCATGAGAGAATTTGTATTTTTCATCAGAAACTCTGCGAAAATATCCACCGATTCCCGTCTTGTTGAGGACATCAGTGGCCCCCTACACCTTTCCTGGTTTCAATTTAACAATTCCGAAAGGAACAATGATCATGGTGCCAATATACGCGATTCACAGGGATCCCCGATACTTCTCCGATCCTGAGAAATACTGTCCTGAGCGATTCGGAAAAGACAGTACTGAGGAACATCCTGATATGTGCTATCTGCCTTTTGGTGATGGGCCCAGGAATTGCATCGGTAGAAATTCAAATGAAAAAGCTATTTTCAGTCTGATTAACAGTCAGTCTGTGAGTCAGTTGCGAGTCAGACTGAAAAGCTATTTTCAGTCTGACTCGCAATCTTATCCCCACTAGCTACGGGGGCCGGACGTTCGACGTGGAAGGGGATGAGTAACGCGCGTGCGAACAGTGCCGTAGCATTAAGCGCACGTTTGAATACATGAATTCCAAATATAAAATTTTTTAAAAAGAATTTATTGGCAGATAGGATGAAACAAATTTAAGGAAGAAAAGAAGCAATTTAAAATAAGACATCTCATTGCTGTCAATCTCCAAATCATGAACAGGACCTCGATTTTCAATAACTGGTTGCACTGGATAATTCTCAATATTTGAAGACCATTTTCGTTCTAGCTATTCATCAATTTTTTCTTTTTCTTTGCTGACAAATCATCTGGATTCATTTCACAATTTGAAGGTATCTTTCTTTGCTTCACGTATTCACCAGGACTTCCACGTACAGTTTTCAATGAAGTTTCTTTCTTTTTTCTTTTTTCAGGCACTGACTCTTTATCCCTGACATTTTTTTCCTTTTTTTATCTCTCATTATTTAATGGCTATCTATCAAAACTTCTATTAAGTATTACGCGAGAATATGCAGAGGGCCCCAATTGCTTTACAATACTTGCGACGGTCCTGACGCGACAGGAGTGGGGGAATAGTCACGTGATTATTTCTCACTAACCCACCTCTCGGCATGCTGTGATTGGCAGCCATTACGCCGATACGGTTTCCTACAGTTTGGGGTTAACCTATTCTGGTGCCAAGGGTTCCCCACTTTTCACCATTTTGTTGTGGTGTGCGTGCATCACCAAGCGTTCCACCCGGGAATCTTTCGTGGGATATACAAGAGATTATTTACTTATCCATTTCATTTATATTTTAATAATCATAAAATATCATTAACCAACCTTACACGGATAGAAATTTTTAATAAAAATTATCCTACCGTTCTATAAAAGTGTATCATGAGTCATCGTTTCCTCAATTCTATCCCGAAATTTAGTAAAAATTAATACATGATGATAAAATTTTAATCTACGTTAGAGAAATTTTATCCTGATGAAAATAAAAATTACTGCGCCGGTAGAGTAAAAATTATTGGACTAGAAGGGCACAATTTATTATGCGTCACCATAAAATTTCTCTAACGTAGAATAAAATTTGATCATCATATATTAATTTTTACTAAATTTCTGGATACAAATCAGGAAACGATGACTCATGATCCACTTTTATAGAACGGTAGGATAATTTTTATCAAAAATTTCTCTCCATGTAGCTAAACTAAAAGCCGTTACATGGCTTGAAGAGGCACACGGCGCACGCGGACACTCTTGCCCTAGAAAAATAACGAATCTCTCAAGCTCTCCTTCACATTTTTTCTTCCCCTTTGCGCTGATAATTCTTGGCGCCAAGTTTTTCCCACATTTCACTCCTTTTTTTTACTCCCGAGACCTCTTAATTCATGTCTCTAAAATGAGTTCTTTTTTTGTTCTTCACAGGCTCGAGATTCGCATTGGTACAAGTCAAAGCTGGACTCATCACTGTGTTGAAATCTTATGCAGTTGAAGTGTGTGAAAAAACTGATAAGAATTACGAAATCGATGAGAAAGCCTTTCTCTTAATCCCGAAAAACGGAATATTCTTGAACATGAAAAAATTGATGAAATAAACCAAATATACTTATATTCCGATAAGTCTGCTAATTTATTCAAAAAATCCTTTTTAACTATGAAATTACATTCATTCATTGACGCACAACTGAAAGAATGAAGAGTAAAATTCTTCTCATGAAAATGCACAAGTTTCAATTGGACTGATAAAAAATAACTGATTCCATTCAAAATTTGAGTTCTAAAAAATCAAAGGGAAGGTTATGAGGACCATTCGGGCCACCCTTGAATCTGCTGATACAACTTCCTCCCAGGGCTCACAGTACTCGTAACTTGACTGGCCCCCAGTACCTTGACATCTGGTCTCAGCATTGACTTTTCCTTGCCACAGGCGATCAATTTGTGGGCTGCATCCACCATTTGCTGAGTTGCATTCTCCCCTAAAAATGGGAAAATCATTAAGAGAATTAAATAAAATTCATTCGCCTTAAGTAGGCGAGGACTGACAAAAATTAATGCTATTCTAATGATTTTTTAAATTCAATCCTTACGTTGATAAGATCCAATAAATGCAATTCCAAGCGACTTTTTATTGTATCCATATGTATGCGCCCCTTCTTTATTCCAGCCGGCGCCTTCGTAAACATTTCCATCTCCTCCGATGAAGAATCTGGAAAGTTTTCATGATTTTGCAATAAGAATATTTCTTGATTTTTTTTCATTTGATTATTTACGTCAAATTATGTTTAAATTCGAAGTAAAATTTTGTGAATTATTGATTTATTATAATTTAATAATAATAATTTCACAACGTTCCGATGATTTCTAATTTTTTTTTTCATAATTTTTATGAAATTAACGAAATTATCATGATTCTGAAATGAGAATATTTCCTGATTTTTTTCATTCGATTATCTATGACAAATTATGTTTAAATTCAAAGTGAAATTTTGTGGATTGCTCATTTATTATATTATATATTATATGTCTAAATGTTCTTTGAGTTTTTTTCATAATTTTTATGAAATTAACGGAATTATCATGTCAAATTCTGTCTCAATTCTAAATAAAGAATTGTTAATTGTCTGTTTTTTGTGGTTTGAAAATGATACCTTCAAAAACTTCAGGTAATTTTTTTTTCTCATAATTTTTATTAAATAAATGAAATGATGAAATTCTGAAATTGTGTCCGTACTCAGCTTTTTAGCCTAAACAATTAATTTGAATGATGCCTTTATTGAAAAGAATGTCGGAAATATCGTTAAGCAAATTAATTCGCATAATTCAAGAAATTGTCTCACGAAAAACCGATGTCGTGCCAATTTAAGTCGTCCATATGATAGTCCTGAATATTGCGAAGTCGTTCCGTGCACGCGACGAATGTCTGGCAGCCTGGTGTAACAGTGTGATGGATGAAAACATAAGGAATTGGTGTGATAAGAAAGTTATCATCACGTGATGGTCTCGCTTGCCACTGCGCTCGAGCAACTATCGCTGGACAATCGGTTGCACTTGCTTCAATTAAAAACCATTTCCATAAAAATTAATTATCGATTGTTCCCAATTATAAAAATTATGAAAAATAATTCAATAAATCAAATATGTGTAATAGTAATTTTCATAATTTTCATAATTTAGGCGTCTACATGAAAACATAATCTTAGTGATAATCTTAGATGATAATCTTAGTGAGGAGATCACATTTTGAGCCCAAAATTAACACGATAGTATGAAAAATGTCGGTATAGATCAAAACATCAGTTTAACATTGGTTTAAATGGAAGGTGTGAACACAAAAATGTGAATATCTCGCAAAATAAATGCGACAAAGTGGGCCCTTTTCATGTGGATGTACACAAATTGTGTTGATTATCGACAACTTAAATTAAGATGTCTTTTTATGTTGATTACGGATATAAAAATAGCACTGAATTATTGAATGAAACTAGCCGAAGAAAGAAAAATTAATCTGTTTATTTACTTAAAAGAATGAAGAAGGAAATAGTCAATCAATGCATATTCACCTGGAGAATTTAATATGATATTGGAGAGGATTATGAGACATGGAAATATTATCCACATGATGACTCTGTTTTTCAGAACGATTGAGAGTTCATCACAGTTTATCAACGACTGAATGACATTCAACGTTCGTCATCTCAGAGGGTTGCATCAAACATACCAATGAGATAAAATCGAAATATAATAACTACTGAGGCGTACTGTCAGCAGGGACCGGTAGGAAAATAATGTCCATTATTAATATTTCATTACAATATCAATGATTAATGAAAAAATTTAATTATTATTTTTCTCATAATGAATAATGATACCAAATATTGGCAATATATTACCAATATATTTTTTATTGTATTGCGATACTAATGAGCAATGAAAATAAAAAATGAAACAAATCATTTTTCAATCAATAACGGTACAAAATTTATTTTCATTTGCTTTCTTTCTCATTATTTTTTATTTATTTTCACTTTTATTTACAATGCATTGCTGTAGACAAATCTCATAATGACACTATGGCAAGTGATACGAATGTCTTTTGGTCAGGCATAACACCGTCAAGGACGAAAAAATGTAATTTCCTCTCCGACGTACAAGGTGATATCGGTGCGATAAGGTAGAAAATAAGACGGCTATTTCTCCAGTAAAAAGTATCAGTTCCAACTAAACTTCAGACTACCTCGTACCTCCACCTGTTCGCAAGGATAAATTCATCATGAATTCTGCATTATATGCGGTTGTGGCTGTTCTTGGGCTGCATTCGGCCCGTCTCGAGACCATTTCACGATTCACTGATCAATCATTTCTCCCGAACCCACGTAATTTCCTTCATTGCAGGCACATAGCTGGAAAGCGGTAATAGATTCTTATGATGAGGTGGAACAATTTCTAAAAGCGGAATTGGATGAAGAAGAGAGCAGATGGACTGTAAATATCCTGGTGGCCGGGAGGAGTAACCAAGCAAGATGGCGGCGCCCACAACCGACTACCACATCATGTTTTTGAACATTTATTAAAATTATTTATCCTCTTCAGATCACCTTCAACTCGTTTCATCGAGTTCTAAGAAGAGGAACAAATTTTTCAAGCTATCCTTCAGATTTTTTCATCGCTTTTTTTTTATTCTATTTTTTCCTGGTCTACTTTTCCGCTTATAAGCGTAAACACATATGGAATGGGCATCTGCGAAGATTATTTATTTTTTAATTAATCCAATATTTATGGACTTCATTATGTTGTGTTGAATCTGCTGCTCTATCATAGAATCAAACATGATGAATAAAAGAATACTTTTGGATGGAGAATAGCAGATTTTTTTCTTTTCATTTATACACCGTGAATACACAAAACTCATTCTCTAAACTGTACGTTGTTGAAATTTTATAACAAAAAATTTTCTCGGAGTGAAAATAAAATTATGAGGAAATTTATGATCTTGCTAGGCCCTTGGGAATAACCAGAACTCCATTCTGACATTTTTCTCTTTTTTCTCGCCTCTTATTGGGAAGTCTGATAGGGGCGGGGCGTAGGTCAAGGACTTACTTGCACGGGTTTACATTTTCGCCACTCGACAGTAGCTCCTTGGGAGAGATAGGGATCGCAATCTACGTACACGGGTTCCTATCCGGTCCGATAGATAGAGTATTCAAGTGCTAGACTTCCCAATAACCCGTAGAGCGATATTCGCTCAACCCATTGAACAGCGTAAGTCAGGAAACGTATCGGTGTGAGAAGAGTAGGGAGCCCCTCAATGCCTTGGAGCGCCATAAGAAAGGCCCGGCTGCGCACGCGCACTACCGCAAAGAGGTGAAGAGTGGAGGTACTGTGAGGCTGTTCAATGGGTTAATCCACATTTTTTCGGAAGAAGTTTACGAAGTGATCGCGGTTATTTTTAGGTCAATCGCGATTAACGGAGAGTTGATAAACAATAAATAATAACAAATAACTAGGTTTATATAAATAGCTCATAATAATAATAATTTATTTCTCAAGTATATGAATTTCTTCTTTTGTACATTTTGTTGACAACATACAATAGATCTCACAGTGGCAGTAATAACAATAATCACACACATTGATAATTGCGACACTTTTTCCGAACTGAAAGTCCTATAGTTGTCTGATGAGAGTTTTTCCACTTCCTTCGCAAAGCTTTCCCAATTTCAATACGAATCTTCCCGTTTTGTTTAATTTCCATGTAGCTTGCCATTTTCATACCCCTCTTTTGCTTCCGCAGAGACAATACCCCTCTCCACCGTCACTCAGCTTTCCACGCGTTCGTCGGTTATCACCAGAATCAGTTAAATCTTTCCATTTTCTTTCACATACCTTGCTTCTATCCTCGTTCTACTTAGCAGGGGCGTTACTTTAGATTTCAGGTTAAACACTGGGCTGGTGTCCATTCCCTTTCCACCATAACCAAACTATCTACGCGTCTGCCAATATCCCTCAGCATTCTCCTGCATCCACGCCAATTGTCCGGATAACACTTCCACGTGAATTAGGAGCTATCACGACGATTATGTACACCCTTTCCAATTGTTTCTTCCCTTTATACTTCAAATATCTGAATGAAAACACGATGATACGAAAAAAATGGAAGTTGTTACACCCAATTGCATTTCGAAAGGTTTATCGCCGGTCACAGAGAGAAGAAACGAATTCTATTCAGGAAGAAATGAATTGAAGAGAATCGAAGAATTACCGGGGAGTCTAGAGACTCTAGCTCTGCTTCTCAACGTTAGTTCCGTGCATTGCCACTTTCGACGCCACTTGAAATGTTCTTCTTTACCGACGTTGAAACCGAGTGTTGTTGGAAATTATTGGCTCATGGATTCGTGAGTCAAAAAGAGACGAAAATTATATTTTAAGACTTTTCAAGTGGAATGTATTTGAGAGTAGAATCACCTTGTATTTTTCAAAGAAGTAGAAAAACTTATACACATTGAGCTTAATTTTTGAGAAGGCGGTTGAGGGATGAAAAATATAATTTAACATTGCCAAACAGGAGAAAAATTCCTTCCTCATACTGCAGAGTGTTGGTAAATTTTGAGATTCTTTTTTCACTTTCGAAACAACGTCGGAATATGAGAGAAAAAATTTAACTGAGAAAAAAAGAAAATTCTTAATCACTCATAATTAGGAACTTGGAACAAAAATGAAAGATTTCGTATGGAATCATCTTATTCGGTGCCAAATAATCGATAATCAGTATTTAATTGACGGGAGAAATTTTTTTCCTAGTAATTTTTACGAAAAACGCAAAAATTTATAGTTTTTATTTTTTTTCAACACGTTGCAGATGGAATTTTGGAACTTTTTTTTTTTTAATTTGAAGGACATTGAAAGTAGAAACACCTCAAATTTTGACAAAGTGGTAGAAAATTTTCTCCATGGTTGAATTAATTTTTTTAAAAAAGATTGGATGATAAAAAATATAGTTAAACGTTTTAAAAAAAAAAAAAAAATATTCCACATAGCTTGGAGTATTCCCGATTTTTGAGAATTTTTTCAGATTTTTCAACGGCGTTTGAGTATGCGAAAAAAAAAATATCGGAAAAAGAGGTTTTTTAATTGTTAAAAATCAGGGGGTTGGGATAAAAATCTGAAATTTTGCACAAAATTATTTTTTTGAATGACAAATATGTCAAAAAATTTTCAGCGTGAAATTCGTCGGGGGCCAATTGACCATTCTTATTTGGCTAGACCCTTTCAATTTTTATCGCGGTATCGCGACATACGGAATATTTTGAAATTGCCTCACCAGCCCGAGGACTTTCCACTATCAGTTATTATTGATAGGAAAGCAATTTGCGATGGCCTGTTTTTCGATCGCTTAAAAGAACAATAACTCCACTGGTGTTCATCACTATTGCTGGGACATCACGCGAAGCAATACCTCAAGGAATAAAAAACTAAAAATTCACCATGAATTTTTTATTGTTCGCTGCTGTCACTACTCTCGCCCTTCACGAGGTACATTCTGAAACATCAATTTGATACTCATATTCAACAATTTTCTTTGTTTCTTTCTCCTCAGATATCAGCGTGCAAATTCAAAACCGGGAGTGTATATTCTCCCAAAGATCAATTTGACGCAAATAAGGATAAGGCCAAACAGTGGGTTGTTAATGTACGGGAGGACTTACAGGGGCTGAAGGTTTGTCAGTAATTTCATATAACAATACTTGGATAATTGAATTGTATTGTTCAAATCCAGGAGTCAACGAACCTTCTGATGATTCATTTCCACCACTTCTGTGTAAAGTGGGATTTTGCACACACGAAGCGTGCGAAAAAATTCACTTTACGTATTAGTGATGAAATACATTAATACCCCCTCGTATCGAAATGTACTATTTTAGATGAAGGTGACTTTTAAAGAGGACGGTATGTGGAACGGTAACAAAATCACTGGGACCTTGTGCGACGAGAATGAAAATCTTGAACCTTTCAAAAATCTACTGTACACTAGTCTAGGAGTTGAATCCTGCGACTTTACTGAGGTGAGCAATCATCAATTCCACACATGGAGAAAAAATACAAAAAAAATTACTGTGTGTGTACGGCAAAATGGGTTCATTTGGACGAATCTGGAAAAATTACCATGCCAAGACCGGAATTTTTGCTGCGCACTACAGGAATTTTTCTCGGATTTACCGGGAAAAATTCGTGTACTCCACAGCCAATTTTCCGGTGCTGGCACGCTAATTTTTCCGAGTTCGTCCAAATGAACCCATTTTACCGTGCCAGCACAGTAATTTTTTGGTATTTTTTTCTCCGTGCAATTTTCTAAAATTTTCCATGTAAAAACGAAAAAATTTAATTGAAAAACCCAACGAATTCGATAGGAAATTCTGTTCCATTTCTATATAACTTCAATTGAAAATTTAATTCCTTTTTCGACGATTCGTCTTTTACAGAGAATGTCCAGTGGAAACTGTTTTATAGAAAAAATCAGCAGAATTTCAGAATTCTGTACATCTTTTTCAATTGAGACATTTTCGTTGAAAATTCCTCGACATAAATTTTCAGGTTTTTCTCATTTCCTTGTTTTCCCAGGAATCTGTGTTCACTCATGTTAATTTCGTTTGTCTAGGGAAAGTATCAAGCTGAGGAGGTGAATGAATTTTCCGACGATGTGTGCTCCAAGGTATCGGAATTAACAAATGGAAATGATGATATGCTTTATTTGACACTGATGAAAGAGGACGACGAGATTTTACATGTTCGCGTGCATAAACAATGAGCATCTGCGAAGATTTATTACATTTCAATCAATTAATAATTCTTTAATTGATTGATTATTTATCGACTTCGTTAGTTATTTATGTTGATGCTGTTGCTGAAGATTGCCGCTATAACACAATTTCTCGATACAGTTCAATGTCAGCACATAAGAAATTCACTTCACAATCACTTTTGTTTCAAAAGATTAATCACCTTCAAAATTAAGTCTTCTGTTAACTTACCTCAAAATTAATATTCAATTCGGATCGTTAATCACCTCTGATCGGATGTTCGATTAATTCTAATCTGGTTGGGAGTTTGCTGGTGGTCTCTAGGACCACTATTAATTATTGGAGCGTCAAAATTAATGATGGAGAAAGAATGAGAAAAAGAAAGGAAGAAAGAAAATTAAAGAATAGATGTTAGAATAGGATATTTCAGGTGTTGGGATAGATATCCTTTGGAACGGAACAGACGAACAACTGTCCCACTTGACGACTCCCAGCAAACTCCTCTTTTCATCCATATAGGCTATCTATCCACCTATTCCGCAATGCCATCTGGCGACAGACATGCGAACTATTACGTACTATCAAGATCAGCTATTGGTAAGAATGGGAACTGTAATCAGTGATACTTATTCCTTGTTTCACGCGTTAGGGTCAGAACACAAACCGAAAATATAAGGAATATGAAGGCTGTAGTGGCCACGCGGGGAGTGTGTGGCTCCGGCGGTCATTCAAGCTAAGCAGCGTTCAGTCTGCCCAGTACTTGGATGGGTGTCCGCTTAGGCACACCTAAAACTGCGTGGGACTACAGTCGCTAGGCACGAATGTAGAGAACCACTGTGCCCATTAAGTCAGTGTGACCAATGGACACAGTGCAATCCCTGCATTATCGGCCGGCTGCGCGACTGAGGTTTTCCATGGTTTCCCTGGCAGTCCAATCCCGAATGGGGTGCAGTTGGGGACAAAGTAAGTCGGCCCATGGTAACGCAGATAGGGAAGGGAATAAAATGTAAAAACCCGAGAGGGTATACATATGGAACCAAAAAAAAAAAAATAAGGAATATGAAACAACTATAAGGAACAGCCTAGCGAATGTTGCTTATTCCTTGGTTCTATTCATATTCATTTGTTTTTGTTTGATATTCGTCATTCTCTCATGTTTATCATGCACAGAATTGATCAGTTTTAAAAATTTTGGAAATTTTGAGAAAATTCAGAGAATTTCTAGGAATTTCGAGAAAATTCCGGAAATTTCCCGAAATTTCTAGAAATTTCGAGGGGATTTCGGGAGATTTACAAAATTCAAATGAATGCATGAACTGAATAAATTTGGTGTGGACGCGTCTATGTGGTTTGTGTTGGGATGTGTTGATGTGTCATGGATCAGTTTCCACCTAGACGTATCCACGTCAAAAATTTATCGGCTGTATCAAGATTACAGCCAATTGGCTTTTTTTCTTTTTTTATCTCTCATTATTTGTTGACTATCTATCAGAACTTCTATTACGTATCATGTGAAAATATGCAGAGGGCCACGCTAGCTTTGCAACACTTACAACGGTCCTGACGCAACAGGAGTGAGGGAATAGTCACTTGACCATTTCTCACTAACACATCGGGCAGTGCCTTATTTTTTTTAGGAATGAAATTGATTTCTGGCAAAATTCTGAATATGAATAAATTTGTTACGATTCCGAACAAATGATTTTTATAATGGGAAGTTGATTGTTTATATATTACTTATAGAAAATGCTCGTAGTTTGAAATAATTTAAATTTTTAAATTATTCCATCAATCTTCTTCCAAAAGTAAACTTTACATTTTTTTTCACATCTTCAAAATGTTTTCTAGCGGTCCAAATATTGAGGGTCAAACGGGACTCAAATGAAACCTCTGATGTTCCGATACAAAAGTGGAGAACCATTTCACTGGAGCAACAGTAGTCAAAATACTTGGATTTCTGTAATTAGAATAACAATTAATTAGAATTAATTTGTTAGAGTCAATTTATTTTTTATATTAGTGACATTTCCCTGAAAATGAGTGAAAATGTCACTACTAATTGATGAAGAAATCACGGAAAGTCAGAATTTTCCCCTCGTTTTGAATTGCACAACCCATGCTCTCCGATCAGCTCGCGTTATCACTTCCTTCTCTATTGTTTCCCTCTCCACGTGCCTCTCGTGCAAAAGGTGAGCAATTGTTCCTCCAGCTGATACTCATCTCCACGAAAATCCCCCGGAAACAGGAGAAAATGATTCAGCCTGCTAATATTACAATCCGAGAGAGACTTTGTTAACGAGGGAATACTATCCAATGCGTCACACCGTTCTTAACAAGATCCGATTAAGCAGTCGTATCCGTCTTTACCCGGCGATATAATAGCCGATATAAACTCGAGGCGATAGTCGGTAGGAATGAATTTGTAATCCCATGATCGATGTCGAAATGCGTGCGGTAGTGTAGATGGTGATAATGACACTAATTATAATAAACTTGACATTTCAATCGAAGAATGTTGTCACAGAAGTAAAATTAGATTCCGTGATAACGATTTTCACTTTTAAAATTAATGAGCCAATTTGTTTTGTGAAATTTGGAATTAATTGAATTGAAAAAGAATTAATTGTTTATTATTCGTTTGCTCCGCAGACGCTTAAAATGTTAGAAATAGTCCAGAGACTCCAATTTTTCAGCTATAGAAGTGTTTTTTTTCAAAATTTTGGAAAAAATGTGTGCAATAACAATTACGAATTAGTTTTTTGAAATGCAACTCCTATACAGCTAATTTTTAACAATTTTCAATTTTTTTAATAAAAAATTGTACCATTCATGTAAAATAGCCCGAAAAATGTTTCTGAAATAATCGAAAATATATTCAAAATTAACATTTTTTCCATTTTTCTGGCAAATTATTGATCGGATTGATGCGAAATAATATACCGTTTTTGCGTTTTATCATTATTGACTGATTCACGAAGTTTCATGGTAGTGCAATCCTTTTTTTGCATTTTTTCTTAAGTTTTGTGAATTTCTGAGAAGTTTTAGAAAAAACGCAGGAAAATGATTGCACGATTATGAACTTTCGTGAATCATTAAGGAATAAAACGCAAAAGCGGTATATTTTTTCACGTTAATCCGATCGCCAATTTGCCAGAAAAATTCAAAAAACGTGAATTTGGGCGAAAAGAGTGTAATACTTCCTTAAGGTATATCCCAAGACAATACCACCCAAAAGTTGGTATGGATTTCCCTATGGATTTCCAGAAAAAATTCTAAATGATTGAAATCATTGCATTTCTATAAGTTTTCGAGTTTTTCTATCCTCATATGTTGGTGACGAAAGCAACAATAACTGTTTGATTTCACGAAATTTCAATTTTTTCGAGTTGAACATCGCAGGAACTATGTACTAGAAAATTTTACAAAAAATTTTAAAAAAAATTTCATCCATTCGCAAGAAAAACCTGTTTTCCAGGGATAAATCTTGAACATTCCAAATACTTCATTGATTGAAGAAAGAGGAATCAAAATGTAAACAAAATATTGAGATTGATAAAGATAATTGCCCCAGCTCATCAATCTTCATAACGATGAAATATTTTTTCAACGAATTCGCTATCTCGTTCCGTTACGTTCACACCCTCCTCCACATGTTCATGCATTTCACCATCCAATCTAACCCAGAACAACTGTCCCACTCCACGATTTGTTCAGTCGCCGACTGAGACTCGTACCGGCTGAGTCTCAGGCGCAAGTGCCCTCTCCCCTCTCGTTCGAATCACCATCAGATGCAACTCTGCACTTCACCCGAACTTTCGCTCCCATTCTCTCTGACGTGTTGTATGTTTATCAATGAATAGACATTCAAACATGTCACGATAATTTTCCCCAAGACTGATCAGTTGAATTTATAATTACAGTAGCTGTGAAAAAATTGTACTTGAATAATTGAACAGTCAAGTGCATAATTTATCTGATAATCGAGTTTTATTGGAGAACGAAAGGGGAGTGAATTTTTATTTTGAAATAATAGTTTGACTGAGGAGAAAATAAAATAATCTAATCACAATGATGAACGAGCACAACGAGGCAATGGAGATTAAGGTGAGTAATTGAAAAACAAATTCATGCAAAACACAAAACAACATTTTTAATTCAATTTTTCCGAAGAAAATTCCACAGCATTCGAAATTTTTTAATTAAATCAGTAGCGAAGTGGTAAAACGGTTCAAGTCAATTTTGACTATTGGCCAGTTTTCAATTAATATTTTGGAATCTACGAGAGACAGCAAAATTTTTGTTATAACCTTTTTTATAAAGCCGATTGAGACCTACAACAAATATGATTACGAAACTTTCGCTATCTCCCTTACATTCGGAAATATTCCTCAAAAACTCAACTGGGAGATAAGTCGACATAGACCGTTTTGCCACTACGCCTACTGAAATAATTAATGGTGAATTCAATTCTCTGTGAACCTCCAACTAAATCTCATACTTTCCTTATTAAAATGTATTATCACCGCAAGAAAAATACGCACTGCAATCCGAGATCTCTGGAAAGTAGTAATAATAACAATTAAAATATATTCTTGTTGGTGAGGGAATATCAAGGTTTTGGGTTACGAAGAAACTGGTATAGGGTTTCAATGTCCTTTTCACCGAGTCTTTTTTCGTTCGAATAGATCGAGCCTAGTTCGGAGGAGGAACTGAAAATACAAAAGCGTCGCGGTCTTATCCATCAAGTGAGTAAATAGTGATTAAGTTCATTCATCCGCAACGGAAATAAAACAAATGGAAAATTGCTCTTGTATTGCATATAGCGTAGTTATTTTCGCTAATAAATTAGCGATATGCTTGCGAATGGTTATTCTGCACATCATTTCCTTCTTTCATACATAATTCATTGTTTATTTCATTTTATTAAATTGAATAAGATTTCTTTTCAACTTATTTTGTCAGATTTTCAACTTAGTTCAACATTATCATCATCATTATTCTTATTATCCCTTTCTTCTACACAACCGATTGTCTTTTTTACGGTTCTACCTCAGCCCTTTGATAAAATGTTAATAGAAAATTTTTATTTATACGTACTTGAATGAATTTGAAACATCACATTTGAAGAAACCATTAGAAAGCTCACGTTCAGGGAAATTCATGAAAAATTCGAAATTTTCAACAATCATCATAAAAATCAAATCAACCAATATAGCTATCGTAATCATTTTTTAACTTCGACTTAATGGCATTAGAACAAACGTTTTTAGCTATGACTGAATTCATTTAACGCATGATATTTAATGATATCCTGGGAATTCTGATTTTCAAAAAATACCAAATTTTTGTAAATTTTCTAATTAATCAAAATAAAAATTATTGCTATCGCCTTCATCTTCGAACTTGATGAAAAGGACATCCAATCATTCAATCAATTTAAGTCATCATTCAATCAATTCAAAACATTTTTTTTAGACATCGTGGGAAAACCGATTTTTGAAAAAATTATAAAATTTTAAAAACTAATGGATGAATTGAATTTTAATTAATGGCGATCGATAGGGCTCAACAATACCTACGTTAAAAAAAAAAAGATTCAATACCATCCATTCATTAGCGAACAATTGAAGAATAAAATCCAAAACTTAAATTTGAATTAAATGAAATCGTATTCAATTAGAAAAACGTCAAATCAATGACACCGGTTATTAGCCGATCCAATGCGAGAATTAATCACTCGATAAATTGTGGGAATTCTCGTAATCTGGTATAAGTGTATTTTTACTCATAACAATTCACAATATTATCGCGGGCGATTCAGCTGTTGCGCGAACCGGTTTTCGATCATTTTTAAACCGATGTCTCTTGTGTTGCACGTGGAGTCCCCACTTGCCAAGTTATTTCTAAACATTACCAACATTTCTGCATTCAACCAATGACTAATTTACAGAACTACAATTTTTGCTTCCGAATGGAAGCTTTGTAATCGTTTAAATTTGAGGGCGGATTTTTTGTGTTACATCGACAATTATAAACCAAAAAGTCCGGAAATGCAATTTTTAGACCGCGTCCGTAGGTCTGTTCTGAAAAATGTTCTGAACTGATTGAATGATGGCTTAAAAAATTCGATTTGATGTCCTTTTGACCGAGTTCGAAGATGAAGGCGATAGCAATAATCGTTATTTTGATTTATTTGAAAATTTGCAAAAATTTTGTATTTTTTGAAAATCAGAATTCCGGGGATATCTTTGAATATCAAGCTTCAAATGAATTCAATCGTAGCTTAAAATGTTTGTTTTAATACCATTAAGTCGAAGTTAAAAAATGATTACGACAGCTATATATGATAATTGTTGAAAATTTCGAATTTTTCATGAATTTCCCTGAAAGTGAGTTTTCTGAAGGTTTCTTCAAATGTGATGTTTCAAATTCATTCAAGTATGTGTAAATAAAATTTTTCCATTAACATTTTATCAAAGGGCTGAGGGGAGAGATAGAACCGTAAAAAAGGCAATCGGTTGTGTAGAAGAAAGGGACAATAAGAATAATGATGATGATAACATTCAACTAAGTTGAAAATCTGACCAAATTAGTTGAAAAGAAATCTTATTCAATTTAATAAAATTAAATAAACAATGAATTATACATGATAGAAGGAAATGATGTGCAAATCAATCACTCGGAAACATATCGCTCGTTTATTAGCGAAAATAACTATACTATATGCAATACAATAATTTTCCGCTAATTTCTCATCACTTTTTGCATTGATGCGCTGAGAAAAAAATCTGTCAATGAAAATCGGTAACTTCTTAAATGCGACAAATTAAACTAATAGGATTAAATAATTTTCTCGATGTGTTCCTCGTAATTTATCTCAATTTTCCGATAAAAATCTGAGATCTCGATTATCTGAGAATAGCTGCCACAATCAATCATTCGGAATTCCTTCCTTCGAAACAATAAAACTGAATTTTATCATCTCCTTGGGTGGGATTAACCGCAAGGCCTCACCCTGTTATCTTCCCAATTAAAACGTAAAAAAAAACCGAGTCATTTGAATTTCGTTCTAATGGAAACGTTTATAAATTCCATAATGTTTGATTACATCACGCGATTTATTATGTAAATTGTTTTGTCGAGTTTCGTAAAGTCTTCCTCACTGATAATACTTCGCAACTAATATTGCAAAGAGCTTATGGATAAAATACGATTGTTACGATGCCCCACAGATGACAATGAGTATTTTTGCGAATATCTCGATACTCGGACCGGCGATGGGGTTCGGCTACAGCGCTGTTATACTCCCAGTCCTGAAGAGCGGCAAGAGCGATGTGACGATTGATAACGATCAAGGATCTTGGATCGGTGGGTGTACAAAATTAAAAACGATTCATTGAATTCAACATTACCCCAACGTTGGGGCAATCTTGGGGCAATGTTGGCTGTCAACATTAAGGTAATGCTGGCTACCAACGTTGTGGTAATGTTGGCTGCCAAGGTTACGGTTATGTTGGTTATCAACGTTGGGGCAATGCTCGCTATCAACGTCAGGGCAATGTTGAGGCAATGTTGGCTACCACCGTTGTGGTAATGTTGGCTGCCAAGGTTACGGTATTGTTGGCTATCAACGTTGGGGCAGTGTTCGCTACCATCGTTAAGGCAATGTTGGCTGCCAACGGTAAGGTAATATTGACTACCAATGTTGTGGTAATATTGGCTACCAATGTTGTGGTAATTTTGGCTGCCAAGGTTACGGTAATGTTGGCTATCAACGTTGGGGCAATGTTGGGGCAATGTTGGCTGTCAACGGTAAGGTAATGTTGGCTACCAGCGTTGTGGTAATGTTGGCCGCCAAGGTTACGATAATGTTGGCTATCAACATTGGGGTAATGTCCACTACCAATGTTGGGGCAATGTCGGCTACCAACGTTAAGGTAATATTGGCTACCAATATTGTAGTAATGTTGACCAGCATTGTTGTGGCAATGCTGACTGCAAACGTTAGAGTAATGTTGGTTACCAACGTCATAGCAATGTTGGCACTCAACGTCGGCAGCCAACATTGCCCCAACTTTAACATTTTTTACCTTTCCCTGAGTACTGGTTTCAAAATACCAACATTGAGGCAATGTTGGCTGCCAACGTTGAGTGCAAACATTGCCCCAACGTTAAAAATTGTTTACCTTTCCCTGAATATTGGTTTCATAATAAATCTTTTCAACACCAAATGATGCAATCAATCTCATGATCGACATTGGAAAGAACATTTTAAATCGAAAATTTCAGATTTGACGAATACAATGCTTTTATTCGGAAGCAAAAAGTGATAATAAACAATTGCATTAAAAATTGGGATTAACAGCCAGTGCTGCTGCCTTCGGAACCCCCATTGGCTGCATTCTATCCAGTTTCGTAATGCGAAGAGGCAGAAGACTGAGTCTCTTGGTGACATCGACATTCTCGTTAATCGGATGGTTACTAATCTACATGTCTACCAATTACGAGAAATTAATTGTCGGGAGGATTGTCGGGGGAATCGCCACGGGTCTTGCCTCGGTACCGGCAACTGTTTACACAGCTGAGATTGCTGACTCGGAGTGGAGGAGCACCATGGTCACGTGGAGCAGCATGGCCATAGCCATCGGAATTCTCATGGTTTACATATTCGGATATTTCATACAGGTGGGGAAAATTGGACAATAATGGTATCAAGTCCTATGTACTCTGTATTTGGATATACGGTGATAATGGCCCATGAAAAATAATATTTCGCTGTGAGTAGTCGGAATAGGAGCAAAGACGACCCTCTGTCGTGCTGGGACCTAGGGGGTGATTGGTTCTCACCTGGGGCTGAGATTATAGAAATAATGGAATTTACGGCATTAATATTTTTCAACGAATGGCTCCCTTGCTCCACGAATCACCATCATCTGCGGTGGGGAAAATTTTCTAGAAATGTTGTTGTGCAGCATCACACGGAGAGAAAAGGTCAATAAAAATTACCAACAAAAAACGTAAAAATTACGTTTCGAAACGTAATCCGCGAGCAAAGTAAAATTCAATAAAAAGTGTGAGTCAGAACTGAAATTGTACGAATCGCCTCGTAAATTTTACGATTTGTTCCGTAAAAATTAACCACCCGTCTAATGACTCACCGCTGTACGTTGTTAAAAAATTATTCTTGAATTTTCAAGTAAAAAATTTTGAAATTTTTAACAATGAATAATTTACATGGAATTGTCGTTGATCTTGTTATTGATAAATCAGTCAATTTTCTTGAATACTCAATGAAATTTGATTTCTCAGGTTCATGCAAGAATGAAAATTACTGAAAATCGTAAAAATTCAGGCAACTTTTCTTCTGAATTTTTAATCTCTTGAAAATTCAATTGAATGTAATGCTTAATTTTCATGATAGGTGTGAAAATCCAAATTGTCATTGAAAATTCAATGATCATTCATTATGAAAAACTTAATTTTATTGAATTTCCTAAATGAATCAGGAATTCCATGAGCAATTTAGTCTGAAATTGAATTCAAGTTCCGAATATTGAAAATTCAAATGCATCTGTTACTTAAATTTCAAAAAATCTCTGACAGTGTAGGGACAACAAGTCGTTCCGTAATTTTTCCCCAACGACGAAATTTCACGGAACGAAACGTAGAAATAATTCACCAGCTTCATAAAAATTATTGAACGTTCAAAAATTTTTGATTTTGGAGGCATAATAAGTCGGGAAGTGTCTGTAAGATTTTACTTCTTCGAGAAAAATTACGTGACAATTTCGTACTTTTTTCGGTGATGAACCTGAAAATTCACTGAACGTTCCAGATTTCTGCTCTTCCATTCTTATAAAAATTGTCGGAAAACGATTCCCCATTGCGGATTACGTGAATTGTTCCGTAATTTTTCCTGAATATTTCTCTCCGTGCAGAAAAATTATCGTTCATTACCGGGTAAACATTATAAGTATTAGTAAACATTATTGGAGCTACTACATATAATTTTTCTGGTGCCGCACCAGAATTTTGCTAGTGCTACACAATCATTTTTGCAAGTGTGCGGATTGTGACACGTTTATAGTGCTTAGTCTCATTTCCATTAATGTTTAATTTGAATATAATCCCGAGGGGGGTGGACGAATTCGCAGATCCTAATCTTCAATCTACACGGCTCAGAATAAGAGTGTTAGTTGTGTAATAGACGTACACCATAAAATTCTGCTTTGATGATATGAGTTAGGAGATAGTACAGGAATTGAGATAGCGATCGAGACTAATAAACCGCCTCAACCCATCATTCAATATCTTTTATTTTCGGTTTGAATTTTCAAACCGGTTTGTTGATAATTCCGAAATCTTCATTGCCTACTTGGGGTTTCGTGTCGATTCTATCTCACGTTGATAATTTTCAGTAGAGGATCTTTAGTGTGTTACCTACTGGAGAGCAAGTGAACGCAGCATTCTTCTCTGGTGATATAAGAAATGAGAGGCATTGATCAATTGTATGCCAATTCACCTCGAAATTTCACTCTTTTTGTTCCTCGGTAATCGGAAATAATTGTTTGGTTCGAATTTGAAAGCCTCAAAGATGAATAATTGCTTCTTACTCAAATATTTCGTTGTTTCAACAACAACAAAATTCAACCAAGAAACCGAAAACATGAAAATGATCGAGAATCAAAAATACGAAGAACAAATATATAAATGTCGTCAAAACATAAATGTAGTCGAAAAATGACTGTTTCATTTTGTCCCAATCTCCCCCATATTTTTTTAAATATTATAATGTAAAAAAATATATATGTACAGAAGTTTTTTAAAATTGCTTCTTATTAGATTCTAGGGGGCTACGCCCCCTGCTCGTTCCGCTCGCCAACCCCCATATAACCTTCATGTGACCCCCATGTGATCCCCATGACCCTTTTCTGGAACCATATTCTGATCCTTGTGACCCTTATCTTGACCCTTAATTTTGGAGTCTTAATTTCGAGGACCAAATTTTCATCACCAGAAGTCGATTTGGATTTTTAATATATAAAAAAATATTCTGAGCCTTGCGACCCTTAATGACCCTTGTGACCCTTATTTTCGCCATTGTGAACCTTATTGAGACCCTTAATCTTGTGACCCTTGTAACCCTTAATCTGACCCATATGACCTGTAATCTGACCCTTATTTGGACCCTTATTCTGAACCTCATGACTCTTATTCTGATCTTTGTGACCCTTAATTTTGGAGGCTTAATTTCGAGTACCAAATTTTTATTACCAGAAGTCGATTTGGATTTTCATTATATAATATAAAGAGATATTCTGAGCCATGTGACCCTTAATCGGACCATTGTGACCTTTATTTAGACCCTTAATCTTGCGACCCTTATAACCCTTCTGAATCTGAATCATATGACCTGTAATCTGACCCCTATTTTGACCCTTATTCTGACCCTCATGACTCTTATTTTGACCCTTGTGGCCCTTAATGTTAACATGGGAGCCTTAATTTCGAGTACCAAATTTTTATCACCAGAAGTCGATTTGGATTTTTATTATATAAAGAGATATTTTGAGCCTTGTGACCCTTAATCGGACCATTATTTACACCCTTAATCTGACCCTTAATCCTGCGGCCCTTATAACCCTTAATCTGACTCAGATGACCTGTAATCCGACCCTTATTTGGACCCTTATTCTGACCCTCATGACTCTTATATTGACCCTTGTGGCCCTTAATGTTGGAGCCTTAATTTCAAGCACCAAATTTTTATCACCAGAAGTCGATTTGGATTTTTATAATACAAGACATTCAAGTTTAGGACGGAAATAATTCTAAGTCAAGCACGACGAAATAGATTGCCGACAAAAAACGTCACATTATTCTTTTAAAAGACTCAGTACAATTCCAACTCAATTCTCAATAAAGTGCCCACACGTAATCCCAAATGCATTGACAGCCCGACAAATTTCAGTAAAAAAAACCTTGTCTTTGAATTCAGGAAAATTGGCGTCTGATAGCTCTTCTGTGCGGTCTCTTCCCAGCGGCGGCGATAATCATCACCATCCTGGCCATCCCCGAGTCGCCAATTTGGCTGAGAGACCGAGGGCGCATGGACGAGGCCCGCGTGGTTATGAAGAAATTTCGTGGTGTACCGAAGGATCACCCCGTCACCGCCGAAGTTGAAGCCGAACTTCGTCACACAAGACACCACCAGAATAAGAAGAAGCAATCGCTGTTGAAGAACATCGCCAAGCGCAGTTCTCTCTATCCATTCGTAATAATGCTGGCTTACTTCTTCTTCCAGCAATTCTCCGGTATTTTTGTTATTGTTTATTACGCCGTCGATATTACCGCCGAGGCAGGAATGAAGATGGACAAGTTCGTTGGGGCCATTTTGATCGGAATGACGCGAGTCATTGGCACCCTATTGGTGAGTTACGTCTCGAAGATATGGGGCAAGAGGAAGCCCTCGATAGCATCCGGGGCTGGAATAACAATTTTCATGGGAATTCTATCGATTTACTTGTATTTACAAGGAAAAGGTCAACAAATTAACGATCACGGATTTATTCCGGCGATTTGCATTCTCATGTACATCTTCATGAGCACCATTGGATTCTTGAGCCTACCCTTTGCCATGATTGGCGAAATATTTCCAGCCAAGGTCAAGGACGTTCTCTCTGGTTTGACAACCTGTGCGGCGTATATATTTAGTTTCATAACGGTTAAAACTTATCCCAGTATGCTACACTCGATGGGGAAACACGGGGTTTTCTTCTTCTACACGATTATCTCGCTGTTGGGGACTATTTTTGTGGCCATGTTCCTGCCGGAGACGAGGGGAAAGACACTCCATGACATTGATGTGCTGTTCTCCAAGAAACGTAGGGAACATGTTGTTGAGGTGCAGATTATGGAGAAGGAGAAAATAGTGCCGATGAAGAACATGACTGCTGCGTAGAACGACGTTGCAATACACTGATAGAATGATTCGTTCATTCCAAACGAGAGTCGTTAACTATTAACGAATGGTAGAGTTGAATATGACCAAATAAATATTCGGTAATAGTTAACGAATCTCGTTTACTATCAACGAATGGTAGAGTTGAATATGACTAAATAACTATTCGGTAATAGTTCACGAATGGTTCACTTGAAAGGTGAAAGTCGAGTCAAACAAGAATTCTCAAATGTGCATTCGTTAACTATTAACGAATGAACATTTGGTGAGATCAATAGACCCTAGCCTTCAACTAAATTCATTTGTTGACAATAACTAATTTTGTCTGTCAGTGTACGTGCGAAGACAAGGGGAATGGATTGTGTTCACATACTGTACTTCATTCTAATACTGAGAGATTTCTCATCTGTTAGAACTTAAGGCGTATCCCGAAACAATACCATCCACAAGTTGGTCCCTGTGGATTTCCGGAAAAAATTCTAAATGCCTTAATTTATAGCATTCCCAGAAGTTAGTGAGTTTTCTATCCTCATATGTTGTTGATGAAAGGAACAATAACTGTTTGAATCAAATAATAAATTATTTGTTAATTAATTGTTTGAATTGAATAAGAAATGATTTCACAAAATTTCCAGTTTTTAGAGTTCAATATCGCAGAAGAAGAATAGAATAGAAAAAGTGCGGCTGGTCACTTAAAGCGCCCAGAGTCACCTAAATCATACGATCTTTTGTAACTTCCGCCTTAGTTTCGGTCAGTCACACAGCCCCAGCCCTGTGTTTCTCACTAGGCTAATAAGGCTGGTGACAGCCGCTTGTTGTAAGTCCTCTGGTTCCAGGAAAGCCTGGCCCCAGATTTTATAGCGACGGAGTGCTAATAGGGGGCATTCACATAAAATGTGGATGACGCCCTCCTTATCGCCTCCGCACAGTCTGCAGTCTTCTTGTTCTGCCAGTTTCATCTTGAACAGATGAGCTCTGAGAGCTATATGACCCGTGAGGAGCCCTACTGCTACCCTCCGATCCCCTCTGTGCAACTCCAGAAGCTTTTTGGTTCTAACTCTTAGTTGCCCTCTCATAAGCAGTTTCGCTTGTCTGCAGGTCGCAACTTTCTCCGAACGCCTGACATGATCCCGCTGGAAATGATCTTTAATAAGAGTTTTTCCCACTGCGAAGGGCATGCCAAGCAGGCCGTGTGAGGGCACACTTTCTGTACCCTCCTTGGCCAGCTTATCTGCCTCTTCATTACCCAGAATCCCATGGTGACCTGGCACCCAGGTTACGGTGACCCGGTTGTTTTTACCCAGTGTGTCCAATGCCTGCATGCATTCCCACACCACCTGTGACTCTGTAGTGGGTTTTTCCAGGGCGTGTATCGCCGCCTGGCTGTCACTGCAGATGAATATTTTCATCTTTTTTGTGTCTCTCGCGTTCAGATACTCTGCACACTTAAGTATGCCCAGCATCTCTGCTTGAAAGACGGTTGAATGATGGCCCAGCGGAAAACTCTCTCCGAAGCCATCTTTCAGACGGTAGATGCCTGCCCCAAAACTTTCATTGAAGCCAGAGCCGTCCGTAAACCAGTAGTCCTCTCTTGGTCCTGGTTTACGTTTCGAGTCTAGCCACTCCTGTCTGGGTGGTATACTCGTTCTGAAAGTTTTCCTGATCTGATACTTCCTAGGAATCCTATCCGTCTTACCTATGAAGGGTCGATCATTGATTAGGCTAAGCCTTGTATGGCCTTGGCCCGTCATCTTCCATTCTAGTTGGCACCTTAGTCTATATGCAGTTGTGGTAGCACAACTCACAACCCTAAGGTCGAGGGGTGGGATACTGAGTGCTATTTCTAGCGCCTCAGTAGGTGTCGATTTCATGGCTCCTGTTGCAGCCCTCAGGAAGGTTCCCTGTAGGCTTTTCAACAGGTTCCTTGTTTCCGTCTTACTCACCCTCGGCCACCAGACGACCGCAGCGTATAACAGTCTCGGAAGTAGAAATATTTGGTAGAGCCAGAGCATCATTTTAGGATTGAGTCCCCATGTCCTGCCCACAGCTCTCCTGCATGCCCACATAGAGGCAAACACTTTATTTCTCTGAGTACAGATATGTTCTTTCCAGCTGAGTTTATTATCCAGGAGGACACCCAGATATTTCACTCTGCTGGTGTAGTTAATCTCCGAGCCATTTAGCTTCAGAGGTTGGATCTTTTCCAGTTTATAATTTCTGGTGAAAACCAGGATTGTTGTTTTGGCTGGATTTACCGATAGGCCAGTTACCCTGCACCAGTCCTCAATGATATTGAAGGCTGTTGCCATCAGGTCCCTTAGCACCCTCAGAAATCCGCCTTTCACAACAACTGCCACATCATCGGCGAAACCGATGACGTGGAAGCCGGCCTCACTTAGTTGATTTAGAAGTCCATCTACAACCAGGTTCCATAGCAGGGGGGAGAGAACTCCCCCCTGCGGACAGTCCCTAGTCGGACGTCTCTCCACACATGCCCTCCCATCTCCTGCCGACAGTCTTCTGCTTTTCAGCATGTTTTGTGTCCAAGCAATGATAGTCTTGGACACCTGTCGTTCTTCCATGGCTTTTTCTATAGCCGGATTCGAAGTGCTATCAAAAGCCCCCTCAATATCCAGAAAGGCGCCTATGGCAAAACCCTTGACCGCCAGTTGTCCCTCAATCAGTCCCACCAGGTGATGTAAGGCGGTATCTGTTGATCTTCCCTCCCTGTATGCATATTGACAGGGGGAGAGGGATCTGTCAGCCAAGGGCCCGGCCTTGATGTGTCTATCCACCAGCCTCTCCAGGGTCTTCAGGATGAAGGATGTGAGGCTTATAGGACGGAAGTCTTTTGGTTTTATATAACCGGTTTTTCCCGGCTTGGGAATGAATACTATCCTAGTCTCATTCCACACACTAGGGACATGTTTCAGGGCTATACTAGCTCTGAGTATCTTGGTTAGGGGTCCCGTGATAGTCTCTATCCCTTCCTGTAATAGGGCTGGGTAGATCCCGTCTGGTCCCGGTGCCTTGAAGGGTTCAAAGGTTTTGATGGCCCACTTGACCCCCCAGGGCTGCACTACTTTATTTGCCAATGCCCAATCATGGGTTTCGTAGACATCCCTCTGATTTTGCATTGTTTCTTTATCTCTCTCCTGGGCCTGTATGAAGCCTGGAAAGTGGGTGTTCATTAGGAGTTTCAGAGTCTCTCCCATGGTTTCCATGTGGCTGCCATCTGGTGCCTGTAGGCTCCCTAGATATGGAGTCTTGTTTGTTCCAAGGATTTTTGCCAGCCTAGAGGTCTCCGATTGACTCTCCACATTGCTTGTGAAAGCCCTCCAGCAGTCCTCTTTGGCTGCCTTTATTGCCTTGTTGTAATCTGCGAGCAAGCCTCTGTAAGTTTTCCATGCGTCTTCCTTACGGGGGCCCGCTCTCATGTTCTTAGCTTTGTTAAAAGCTTTTCTAGCCTTGCCCCTCAGCCCACCGAGCCTCTCTGACCACCAAGGAGTCTCAGTGGGCTGCCCTTTCGGGATAAGCTTGCAGTTTGTCTCGAAGGAGTCCATGATGGCCTGGTTTAGGGCAATCGAAGCCTCCTCCAGCTGCTTTTTGTTGTTAAATCTGAGGATGATATCCCTGAGATTGTCAGATAGACTCTCTCGGTAATTTCCCCAGTTTGTTCGTCTTGGGTTTCTCACCCATTCCGTTTCTTTCACTGTGTGGATGGACATTCTTATGGTTTGATGATCGGACGCTGAGAGGTCCTTTGAGACCCTCCAGTCCCCAATCATGTCTGCCACTCTATCCGTCCCCAGAGTGATATCTATGACCTCCTGTCGTCTCCGATCTATGAAGGTAGGTTCTGACCCCCTATTAAGGATGTTTAGACCGGCCCCCATTATGAATTCCTGGAGGCTTTCCCCCCTGCCGTTAATGCCGGTGCTCCCCCATGCTACATGGTGCGAGTTGGCATCACAACCTAGCAGGAGTTCAAGTCCCCTTTCCTTCACATGGTTGCATAGGTCCTTTACTTTTTTCGAAGGAGGTGGTTCAGCCGAGTCATAGGGCATGTAAACTGACCCTACAACCAAGCTCATTTCCTCGCCTTGTCCCAGGCCCAGATCCACTTGTGCCACAGCCAGGTCTCCCTCACTAGCCTGTGAACAGAAGAAAGAGTCTAGTCCTTTAATAACAATGCAAGATCTAATTTTCTCCTGAGTGTTTGCGTGATAGATTCTGCCACAACCACTGAGGCCCTTAATAGCATTGTCCACTATCCATGGTTCCTGGATCATTGCTATGACAGTCTGCATCCCAGCTAACAGCCTGACTAGAGTAGCCGAGGCTGCTTTGCTGTGATGCAAATTTATCTGTACAATGTGCACCCGGGTTGCAGCCATAATGATGACTACTTTCCTGGTACCTCTATGTACCCTTCTTCTGACTTTCACCACGGTCTTTCGCAAGCAGCTTGACAGTTGCTTTTTGAATCCCGCAGTGCAGTCTGAAGTTGCAGGCTTTCAGAACAGAGAGTGATCGGTCGTCTATCAGCGCAACGAAGTGGGCACTTTTCGCGTCCCTACTCTCACTGCCCCGAGCGACAACCCACTCTCTGGCCTGCAGTCCTGCATTTTGTTTCTCAAGGAAGCACAGTGCTTCTTGAGCGGTTAGATCTGGGTCTTCCACGTGTAGTACAACCCTGTGCTTCTTGGGAAGCTCCGAGGCTGCGACCACACGTACAGTAAGTCCAGCTATTTTGTTTTCGGGGAAAAGGCTTTTCAGCCAATTTCCCGTTTCCTCATCAGTGCAGCACACCATTGCCACACCTTCTCTTTCCCAGACACCGTTGAAGGTGGGTGCTTTCACCCCGTCAGGTAACGCCAGAATGGCCCTCTTCAGGAGTTTCTTCACCTCCGTTACCTCTTCAGTGCCCAGTTTCTGATCCGGATATGACTCCGGCATAACTGCAAACTTGAATGAGCTCGTAGTGTTCTGAGCATATGTGCCCTGATCCTGCGTTCTCATTCTCTTTTCTTTCGGTCTGACTGAGGGGCTTGGCGTAGTACGCTCTGATGGAAGGCGTTTTATTGCCTTCCTCGTAGCCCCCTCCCCCCCCCCCTCATCGACCTTCGCTGCTGCATCCGTCAAGGTTGCAATCGCCCCCGAGGTTTGATGCAGCTTCGCTCTCTTGCGACGTCTTCTCTCGGCTCCACTCAGTCTGACCCGATTCACATCGGTACCAGACTGGTCAGCCTTGTCAGACTTCGTGTGTTCGCCATCGCTGGCCCCACCCGAAGTTGCTTTTTCAATATTAAGATTTTTTAAATTGGTTTCCATTTTAGTCCCACGAGTACCGCGGTTAAGCGTTTTCACCTGGTGCATTGCCGCGATTGCCCAGGGCTTGGCTTGTCTCGGGTGGGTTACACCCAAGACTACTCTCAGAGGTCGCCCAGGTTTCTGAGAGGCACCGTTAGCGACACAGCTCCCCCTGTGCCACGCATCCTTAGGCACGGTATGGCCGAGGCCATGGCTTACGCCGCTCACACACATGGATTGGGTGGACTCCTCTTAGCGACCGCGGGCAGCGGTAGTCCTTAAGACCTCCACCGCCCGCGACCGAGGCCCCTCACTACGACAAAGTGGGAACCCAGTAGAGGGGGAATATCGCAGAAACTACGTACTAGAAAATTTTACAAAAAATTCACTGTATTCTGAATTTATCAATCTACCACAGATTCGTTGTTTCACAACATCATAAGAACCGTTTTTTCATAAGATGAAAAAATCGATTTGGGGGGGGGGGGGACATAACCCCCGTTTGACCTGCCATGCATGCTAGAAGTCCGCATTTCATTATTTACTATTTTTTTATCAACTGGGGAATATTATAAACTATGAAAAAATGGGGCCAATCGTAAGAAAAACCTGTTTTTTACGGATACACCTTAACCCTTATAATTTTCAAGAAATTGAGGACTGAATTATGATCTCGTGAATAAATGCACATTGAGATTGATCTTTGTATATTTTTTATTACGAAAAACTTGAGTCTTAAATAATAAATATTACCACAAAGTTGTAAATTGTTTTTTTTCGATTAAATAACAGACGTATAACAAAAGTATGAGTCAACGATTTGGATTTACTTCAGAGGAGTGATGAGATGATTTCACAATTATTCCGCTGTCTACTGTTCATTTTCTCGCATCAACAATAAATTAGAAAAAAACATGAAGTCGATGAGTTGATGACGTGACTTATCACTCGCAAAAATATATAATATTCACCTTAAATACTTAATACTAAGATCAGTCCGTTCTTCATGATCGACTGATCCGAGTGTGACAATCAAGAACAATAATCAGAACGAGTAAAATATTCTATCCTACCTTAAAGTCTAATAATTTCCGTAATCATTAATTAATTACGATTCGCAGTTCTTTGGATGAAAGATAACATTTTAGGCAAATTAAATTATAATTAATCATCTCTTTTCGAACCTAAAGTTGAATGTTTTGAGTGGCAACGCTAGACTACCAACAGGCACACTGTAGCTCTCACCTTCGACGGGCAGAAGTGTGTAATGTTTGAGAATTGTCGCAACTATCGAGAAGCTGACGTACTGAACCATTTTATACCCCATGCAGGATCTTCTGCCTCCACCGAACGGCAGAAAGTACTCGGGTTTCGATATTCTCCCCTTTTTTATGAATCTCTCGGGGATAAATTCTTGGGGCGACATCCACAGATCTTCGGACATGTTCAAGTCGTAATTATTCAGGAATATGAAGGCGTCTTTCTCGACTTTGTAACCTGCAGCAAAAACAAATATCAAGCATTAAATGGAGATTCAATAGAAAATAGAATTTGATTTCCCTATTGGGATCTTTTGCGCTAAGAGACACACTCTGGTGGCTGAATTGAGCGCCTCCCTAACTTGGATGCGAAACTGTCAGCTGTATTAAGCGAACGAAACTTTCATTATTATTTGAAGTAATTGATCATTAATTCTCGCAATCGAAGGCATTTTATTATGGTGTAGTGGAATGCGTAAAATGTATTGTGTTACATAATCGAATGTTATTAATCATGGAGTTTACTCCAAGGATAAATAAAGGCAACATTTATTGCTCGGTGTATGGATGTAAAAGCAAGTCGTGTGTCAATCCAAAAGTGAGATTTTATGAATTCCCTACTGAAAATAAATGTTTTGTGATGTTTTGTGGTCACTCTCCAAAGTGATCGTTGAGTGTCCGTCAAGAAAATCTAAAAAAATTAATCAAAAAACTATGATTTATAATTGAAAATTCTTTTTGTGAATTATAAAATTTATGAATATAAGAATTAATCGATTATTTTTATTATTTTTCGCTTATTAGTCAAATAATGTACCTCCTTTGACTAACGTCATTTTATATGTGGCAACGCTGTAACTTAACAGCGTAGGGAAAACGAGATTTGAAATGCCCGATAGGTTCCAGGTTCGATTCCTGGCCGGGTAGAATGGTGAGATCTAACCATTTTTAAAGTCTTGATCAATCGCCATATAGTCTCATCAGACTCGAAGCGATATAAAATAAGCATAAAAAAAAAAAAAATGCCCGATTGTCCCCACTCCACTAACGCGTCGTTGCCGCATCTACTCGACACGCAATTTCCGAACACCGAGGAGCAGAAATTATTTATAACTAAAGTCCCAAGCGGTCAATAATTTTCATCGATGGTCGTAAATTTCTGTTTTTTCCCCTTTTTTTGGGATTTTTTTTATAATTTAATCTTGGATTTATGATAAAAACCACCCAAAAATGTGATTTGCCCAGAAGACTCTGGGTTAAAATCTACTTTTTCATTAATTCTTATCAACCATACTAAACGATCAATGTACCACAAATTGCACCAGGAGGTTTTTATTGATATTAACTTTCATGAAAAAAAATTATTTCATATTTTAATCTTGGAAATCGATCCGTGACCATATTACTTTAACGTTTCGCGCACTGGGCCAGCTGACCAGCATCCTGGTTGCATTATTTTCACGGTTGGCCACCAGACGGCCAAATACCAGGCCACGCCCCTACGAGAGATCCCCATACAATTTATTTTACTGAGAATTCTTCCCATCCAAATTTCAGCCAACAGAATTCCACTATTCGACTGTTATATTATATAGTCAACACGGTATTCAACTGATAAATTGGAACATATGATGATCATTATTCGTATTGCTTTTTAATCTCAGTAATATTTCTCCACAACATGAATCGGTATCAATCATTCATTTAGTAATATCATGAGAAGTTGCATCTTACAAAAATTAAGGTTTACTTATCTTCATTGAAATTTGAAAAATAATATGTAATAATTGGGAATTTTAATTTTCAATTGACTATTGAGTAAATATTTCTCAATTTTGTAAAAGTATTTTTCGATTAGCCAAATAATCGTCAATGTTCCAAACTCAATTATTGATTGATAAAATCATTCGGAATTTGGATACTTATTGAATATTGACAATTGACTGAATCCAAATTCGACTTTAATCAAAAATTTTTAAATTAGCGAAAATTTAATTTTTTTTTTTTTGAACATTCAATTTAATTATTTTATAAAAATAGGAAATACTGAGCTCCATGCAAATTCCCTATTCCACGATTGTTGATGACAAACTCTGAATCATCAAAAAAAAGTTCCTGATTTTTTTCTAGAATCATTTCGAATTTAATGAACTTCAATTAAAATTTGTGAAATTATGGAAAATGTAATAAATTTTTTCATTTTTTTTTTCAAATTCAGTTGAATTATTTTATAAAATTAGGGAAAACAGCTTCACGCGAGTTCCCTATTTCACGATTACTGATGACAAAGTCTAAGTCACCAAAAAAAAAGTTCTTCATTCATCAATGGAGTCGTCTACCAAACTGTTTCTTACCAGCAACCGAGCTGTCGCGATTCGCCACATGCGGCACAATAGGGCTGGCGATGAGTCTGATAGACTCCAGTAGAATGGCCTCTGTATACGGCATACTCCTCCTGTACTCCAAGCCCACGACATTTCCGACTCCCTCGACGCTGTCAATCTCCTTCTGCGCTGTCTCCTGGACATGTCTCCTGGGCGCCAGGTACCCCAGAATCTTAACGACAAAATTCCCGATGGCTGCATGTCCCCCGAGGATGTCCTCCAAGGCGAACAGAGCCGTATTCCACGACATCATCGGCTCGGCATTCGTCTGCACGTGATTTATCAGGCAGTCGACGTAGTCCTTCTCCGGAATGACTTGGCTCCACGACGATCTCCTGTCCTCAATCAACCTCGTCACCACGAATTTTCGGATGGTTTGGGCCCATTGAGCAGCCCGCCGCAAATTTCTCGCGTGCAGAGGCATCAGGAAGGGCATGAAATCCGCGGCGTAACCCTGATTCACCTCCCAGAAGACGTTGTCGAAGGCCTCAACCATTCCCTGAAACTCTTCATCGTCGTTGGAAAATCTTCTCGAGGTGAAGTAATTCGTGAATATGTTGGCGCATGTCTTCAGTATCGCGGGCTTCACAGCGACCTTGACACTGGCACTTGCCTCGGTGTCAATATGACCCAACAGGCACTCGAGCTCCTTGGCGATCAGGCTGTTAAGCTGATTGTACTTGGCAGTGAGTGCCCGCGGAAATGCGTGGACACGGAGCATCTCACGCCGGCTTTTCTGCAAATCAGACCAGTTGCTGAACGCCAGCGCTGTCAAGTGTAAATAAGGAAAAAAACATTAGTGAAGAGACTTCAATGTTTTCGTGTATTTTTGGAACTTAGGAAGGAAGTCACTGTAACGTGACCCTGATCATCTACATAATTAGTATTTTTAACTTTGTTATGTAAACATGATTTTGAGGAAATGACGGCCAGAGTTGAATAATGGAGTTTTGGGTGAGAGCGCAGTGGGAATATTTGGGACTGAATTTTTGCTGAATTAGGAATGGACGATGGTGAGAATTCGACGGATTCTCTTGAGAGTGGAATTATAGATTAAGATTGGGAGATTAACTCATTAGGGAATGATTTTGATCGTTTCGTTAGTCTTAATGTCTCCAGTGTCATTTTTTAAATAATTTCACCCAAAAAAATTTTATTCTCAGACTTATGATCTCAAGTTGAAACTTCTAACAGTCGCAAATTGAGACTTTTAGAATTTCCCTTAAAGTTTCTTCTGAAGACTTCTATGGTTTGTGTATTTTTGGAATTTAGGAAGGAAGTCACTGTAACGTGACCCTGATCATCTACATAATTAGTATTTTTAACTTTGTTATGTAAACATGATTTTGAGGAAATGACGGCCAGAGTTGAATAATGGAGTTTTGGGTGAGAGCGCAGTGGGAATATTTGGGACTGAATTTTTGCTGAATTAGGAATGGACGATGGTGAGAATTCGACGGATCCTCTTGAGAGTGGAATTATAGATTAAGATTGGGAGATTAGATTAACTCATTAGGAAATGATTTTGATCGTTTCGTTAGTCTCAATGTCTCCAGTGTCATTTTTTAAATAATTTCACCCAAAAAAATTTTATTCTCAGACTTATGATCTCAAGTTGAAACTTCTAACAGTCGCAAATTGAGACTTTTAGAATTTCCCTTAAAGTTTCTTCTGAAGACTTCTATGGTTTGTGTATTTTTGGAATTTAGGAAGGAAGTCACTGTAACGTGACCCTGATCATCTACATAATTAGTATTTTTAAATTTGTTATGTAAACATGATTTTGAGGAAATGACGGCCAGAGTTGAATAATGGAGTTTTGGGTGAGAGCGCAGTGGGAATATTTGGGACTGAATTTTTGCTGAATTAGGAATGGACGATGGTGAGAATTCGACGGATCCTCTTGAGAGTGGAATTATAGATTAAGATTGGGAGATTAGATTAACTCATTAGGAAATGATTTTGATCGTTTCGTTAGTCTCAATGTCTCCAGTGTCATTTTTTAAATAATTTCACCCAAAAAAATTTTATTCTCAGACTTATGATCTCAAGTTGAAACTTCTAACAGTCGCAAATTGAGACTTTTAGAATTTCCCTTAAAGTTTCTTCTGAAGACTTCTATGGTTTGTGTATTTTTGGAATTTAGGAAGGAAGTCACTGTAACGTGACCCTGATCATCTACATAATTAGTATTTTTAAATTTGTTATGTAAACATGATTTTGAGGAAATGACGGCCAGAGTTGAATAATGGAGTTTTGGGTGAGGACGAAGTGTGAATATTTGGGACTGAATTTTTGGTGAATTAGGAAAGGACGATGGTGAGAATTCGACGGATTCTCTTGACAGTGGAATTGTAGATTCAGATTGGGAGATTAACTCATTAGCAAATGATTTAGATCGATTTTGATTTTGTTAGTCTCAATATCTCTAGTACCATTTTTTAAGGAAATACACCCAAAAAGATACTTTTTATCATTCAGGCCTTTTTGTCATTCCGCTACGGGTCCGTGAATCCCTGTTTACAGCCGTTATGACGAAATAGTATATTTCGATACAAGTGCGACGGGGTGGTAACGAGTGTGAAGTTGGCGACCCGAGGCGATTGCCGAGTGCTGCCAATCACACGAGTTAAAACACCCCGTCGCACGTGTATACGAACTATATTTTTTGTTAGTGATGTTACGTTCAGCGAGTGCCGAACTGTGCCATTTTTCGTTTACTAGTAAACGAAAAGTCGAAACTTGTAAACGAAAAGACTTTTTGTTTACTAGTGAACGAAAAGTTCACTTTTCGTCACAGCGTGATGAAAAATATTGTTTATCACACAGCCTAAAAAAAATTTTCTGGTTCATATGACTGCAACTCATTCGCCAGAATAGTGTATTTCGTAACGAGTGCAAAAAACATTTTTTCACGAGTTACGAACAATATTTTTCATCACAATGTGGCGGAAATTGGACTTTTAGACACGCGGAGCGTCCCGAAAAGTTCGAAATATACTATTTACGGATAACTAATGACGAAATATACTATTTACGGATAGTTCGTGCCCGTCAAACGCCATTTACGGACATTGTAAAGAAAAATTATGTCCGTCACTCGGACGAAAACAACTTTTCCGACTCGTGTGATTGCAATCCTCGGTTTCGCCTCGATCTGCAACCCTCACACTCGTCAGAAGTTCTTTTCAGCCTTGTGACGAAAATAGCTATTTTAGGCCTTATGTCGAAATTCACTATTATTTTGAGACTTATGATCACATATTGAAACTTTTAAGTTACAAATTGAGACTTTCAGAACTTTCCTTGAAGAAAAATTTCAAGTTGAGTTCGAAAAGTCTTGGCTTGAGGCATTCAAAAGGATCAACTTGATATCCAAGTGTCTTTTACAGTTTGGCACAGACCACACTATAGATTCACCCATTTTCAATCATCACATTTGTCAATTAAATTGTATGAGATAAATTTGAACATAATCATGAATATTCAGCGTCATTAAAATGACACTTCGCACGGAATTATTATTTTTGCTTTGGGATAGAAACTTTGTAATCATTTAAATTCAATTTTTGCCTTTTTCGTGTTGTATCGACCCAGTATGATCCAAAGAGTCCGAAATATGCAATTTTTAGTCCTCGACCGCACGTGTGTATGTGTGGACGTATGTAATAAAGTTTTTCTTCAATTGTTCGCGAATGAATGTATGGAGTTGAATCTTTTTTTTCTAATGTAGGTATTTTGAGCCCTATAAATCGCCATTAATTGAAATTTAATTCATCGGTTAGCTTTTTTAATTTTCGGATTTTTTCGAAAATCGGTTGTTCCGAGATGAGTAAAAGAAATGTTCTGAATTGATTGAATGATGGCTTAAGAAATTTGTTTGGATGTCCTTTTGACCGAGTTCGGAGAGGATGGCGATAGTAATAATCGTTATTTTGATTTATTTCAAAACTTGCAAAAATTTAGTATTTTTTGAAAATCAGGATTCCGGGGATATCTTTGGATATCATGCCTCAAATGAATTCAATGATAGCTTAAAATGTTTGTTTTCATGTCATTAAATCGAAATTAAAAGATGATTATGAAAGCTAGATTGGTTGATTTGATTTTTATGATGATTGTTGAAAATTTCGAATTTTTCATGAATTTCCCTGAAAGTGAGCTTTTTTCTGATGGTTTATTCAAATGTGATGTTTCAAATTCCATTAAGTATGTAAAAATAAAATTTTCCAATTAACATTTTATCGAAGGCCTGAGGGGAGAGATAGAACCGTAAACAAGAGCATCGGTTGTGTAGAAGAAAGGGACAATAAGAATAATCATGATGAAAGAAATCTTACTCGATATAATAAAACGATATAAACAATGAATTATACATGATAGAAAGAAATAATTTGCGAAATAACCATTGGGAAGCATATTACTAATTTATTTGCAAAAATAGCTGTACTATATGCAATACAAGAGCAATTTCCCACTTGTTTAGGCATGAAATCGATTTCTGGTAAAATTCTGAATATGAATAAATTTGCTACGATTCCAAACAAATGGCTTTTATTATTTATAAATAATGCTCATAACTTTAAAAATTGAAAAGTAAACTTTCTAATTTTTTTCACATTTTTGTTTTCTCACGGTTCCATATCCAGCTTTAAATTCAGACCGACAAAGTGTAAATAATAAAATCATTGTAAAATGTCCGGAAACATGAGGTCAAATGGGGCTCAAATGACAGCTCTCACCTTCGACTACACAAGTAAAAAAGCATTTCCCTCCGGAAAGAATACCCAAAGTACTTGGATATCCTCACGACTGTCAGACTTCAATACCCCACCCTTTTTTCAAATAAATTCAAGGTACTCACAGTTATCCTTGTCTCCCCCGAAGAGTTGATTGTACCTCGTGAAATTGGGTCTCGAGTCGAAGTGCGTGCCCTTCGTGTAGAGAATTTCCCTGATGTTCTCCAGTCCATTAACAACAATGCAGTTGAGTGATCCCAACCTGAGCTTGATTATCTGGCTGTTGTACTGCTTAGCGAGTTCACCGAATGCCTTGTAGGGCACATCATGCCGCCCAAGAACATCGAGTGACCCAATAATTGGCCATGGTTTGGGCCCGGGGGCCTCAGGCACCTCATCCCTCTTGATCTCCCCGAGAATGCCCTCCTCAATGATTCCGGAGACAGTCCTCTTCCGCCTCGCTCTGCCATGATCAATCAGCAGCATCAGCAGTGCCACGAGAGAGGCTGTTATCAGGAAATAAGTAGTTGTGCTCAGAAAAACTGCCGGCATCATCTTGACTCGACGATCAAATCACAGGAAAACTATTTCAAACTTCACCAGGTGAATGATATCTTCGATAAATAATGATCTTGCACTGCTCAGTGAAATTGTCAAAGATTGGTTTCGACTTTTGCCCACAGAAAAATATTCAGATTCTCCTCTTCACTTGTCTGGAGATGTCTGAACGGTTTGCCGATCGGACTGGGTCTGAGGTTTTTGATGGTAGACAGCGATCTTATATAGCAAGTCAATGTAGTCAGCACATTTACAACACCCCATACATATGGATTCGAAGCATCGATTTTTCTGGTAGACACAACGGTAGGACACGAAAAAACGATGAACACTTAATATTATTCATGTGTTGAGGTGATTATTTTCTATTCAGGTTTTAAGGGAGAAGAGTGGTGGGGGGGGATGAGCATGTCAAATAACGCGAGAGGGGAGGGGTACAGCCGTAAGGAAGTGGTGGACATGATTCTATGGGGAGATGGATGCTAGACGTTAGAAGGAAGAGTGAAGAATTTTTTCGGGGGGAGACATTTAGGCTCGTGGGGATTCCCTGGAGACTCGAACTTTCGTTTGAAAAAAAAATGTCAGGAGATGTTGAGGGATATTGGTCCATGATTTTTGGCGCATCAATCTGGTTTAATTTTTCTCGGTGGAAACGAATGGGCTTTTGAGTGGTTGGGAGAGATTTCATGTAGGATGTCGCAATGCGCGGCAATAATTCTTGATAGGTAGACTGCAATGATCTGGAAGTTTCGATACAACCCGGAAGATATGTAACAGTGGAAGGAGCACAAATGATTCCAAGTTATCCGAACGTTATTTATACGTACGCATCGACCCACTTAGGGCCAGAAGACACGTAGCTTCTAAGAATTGATGGATCGAGGAGAGGGAGAAAGGACGAGCTGGGAGACAGTATGCGCTCGACGAGCGCGACATGAAAATCAATGGATCGATGGAAATCACGGAAATTTTTGCTAGAATTGATGAATTTTTGGATCCGAATGGAAGCATTGTAATCGTCCGATTTTCATATTCCTACAATTTTGGTTGGAAATTATGTAGAGTGGTATGAAATGTAAAAATAACAAGTTTGGCGACAATTTCTGTAGGTGAGCATGTCCACCGGCACCTCCCGGTGGTCAATTTTTAGAAAATTGAGTGATTGAGTGGCTAAAGCAACTCCAAAAAATCTGAAATTTTGTCGGATTGTAGGTCTTAATGAAGACTAATCCTGTGCAAAATTTCAGCCCGATCGATCTAATAGTTTTTGAGAAAAAGCGATTCGTTTTTAAATTGTTTTCCGCACATATCTTCAAAACTAGTCGAGCGATTTCGATTTTTTCACTTTCAAAATATTCCTTTTTATGCCTCCTATTTAAATGAATCAAAACATATACACCCGGTCATACAAAGTTTTCGAGATATTCCCGTTTCTCAGTTTTTTCATGAAAAAACTTTGTAATCACTCTAGCTTGTAAAAAAATCGAGATATCAACTTGAAATTTGGACAGAATCTTTCTCTCATGATAACAACAGTTCGTATTGAAGATGGGCTCAATCACATCAGTAGGTTCGGAGATATTCGACTTTTTATGAAAATCTTTTACATGCAAAATCTTAAAAACTACGCAACCGATTTCACTTTTTGTCAAAATATTCGTTTCGATGCCTTCTATCTAAATCAATCAAAACACATATACCCGGTCATACAAAGTTTTCGAGATATTCCCGTTTTTCCATTAAAAAAAATGTACTCACTCCAGCTTGTGCAAAAATCGAGATATCAACTTGAAATTTGGACAGAAAATATTTATACCCGTTCGTACGAAGTATTCGAAAGATTGGAATGTTTATAGCACCCACGGAAGTGGCAGTACACATCTGAAATTTTTGCTGCTAGTTAATGGTGTAAAGCTATAAATTTTGTAATATTTTGCAATATATCAATGTATTGATGGCGAAAAAAATAAGACATCACTAAGTGACATGCTCACTATCATACGACGCGCTGTCATATGCTCGCTCTCCCCTGCTTGTTTTTTTTTATTCATCACCCGGAAGTCAGCCCTGGTGAGCGAGGGATTTTGTATGAATACGAATTCTACATTTGCTTTTCTCAAGGTTTTTATTTTCCATTTCCAGAACGAAAAACGAAATAATTCTCATAGAAATTGAAAAAACATTTTTATCAGGTTGTAAAGACTACTTCGAATGGAACATTTATGGTTTATTTATTCCATTTAGTGAAAGAATTTCTCACGTTACGGGTGCACTAGATAGCGAGAGGTCTTCTCCCTCCAGACCCCTCACTACTTGCCAGACGTGCCCAAAGCTGGAGCGCGTCTGCTCGCCGACATCTGGCGCGTGATGAGAGAATCTCTCACGACTCCCGATCGTTCCCCTTGAAATATTTTTTATTAATTTGGGGTATACAGGTCAATAGCTGGACGGTCAAGGAAATGTTGAACTTCATTGAAGGATTTAAAATCCATGAAGTAGCTGAATGAATAAAAAATGAGTTCTAGGCCTGAAAGAATATATGAATTAGGAAAAAATAATAATTTGAAGTGGAAAAAATGAAGAGAAGAATAATTAAATGAGGGAAAAGTGGAATATCGTCCAAATACCCAATAATTGAACGCTAGGGCCAGTAGATGGACGGTGGATGGCCAATACATGGGCGGTCTGGAGGAATATAGAATTTTCATCTAGTTTATACAAACATGTAAATTTTGTTTTATTGAATGTGAAGAAATACAAGGCCAAATAGATTCTTAATCTTCGGAATGTGATTCTCCTCCTGAAAATATTGTGCTATTTCCCACATCTGACTCTTTCGGAAGAGAACTTTTCTTTCTCCACGACACATTGTCACTGATGCTTAGCAAATTGCTGCGCCACGCCACCTAACACTGTACCTCCCGAATATTTTATTTTTATTCTTGCTGTAATGTTGATATTTAAAAAAAAATCATCACATGATTATACATAAGTGTTGTTATTTATAACGATAATAATCCATGCAGTTTTCATTCTATTATTTATAGAATATTTAATAAAAGGTGAAGTCCAGCGATTGGCCTGGTCACCCTAGATACACTGGGAAAAAAATTTTCTAATATCTGAAACATATTTTCTTGAGACAGATAAATTTTCTTCAATTGCTTAATTCTTTCAGGCATCTCAACTTACATGACCCGAGAAAGACCTCATACTTTAAAATATTCTTGTACTCAAGCATGATTTTTTCACAAATGAACTTACTTAAATCGCGTAAAAGAATCGTCAATCTTCTAGTCTTTATTGTTTTCATGATTTTTTCGTTGTGGACTTCCCATATTGCAATATGTAAAATATTCATGACGTAACACGGAACGATAGTGATGAATGAAAATTTATTCGAGTTCCGTGAAGTGCACACATTCTGAGATTTAAGCCATTGAAAATAATTTACTTCTCTCAAGAAAATATGTTTCAGATATTAGAAATTTTTTTTCTCAGTGTACTTTATGGAGCAATCTAACAATCTTTTGAGACGAACGAATTATTTAGTGTGAAATAATATTATTCTAGGGTAATAAGTCATCGTAAAAATGTGACATCAAACCGTATGTTCCTTTGATTGTTTATTGTTACTTTTATCAATTTAAAAAACGTATGAGAGAATAAAAAATACAACCGACCGACAGCTTTTAGCAAATATTTTATTTCACAGTATAAACCGTGAAATTTTTTGTGAGAGAAAGTTTCCTACTGCGCCCACTGACGAGTTAATTGACGTCTGATGTTTTGATGTCTGAGATTACTTCATTGGCATCGAGAGTCAATTTCTCGGAATCTAGCGGTACAACACGTTTAAACGTGTGCAGCCAATGTTAGTTTGTCTGTCTTGATCGTTGAGTCAACGACGTTGGAAATGTAACGGGAAAAAAGCACTCACTTTTGCTGGTTCATGGCAACATTGAACCTGGGTTGCCTCGTGTATTTGTGTATTAGCGTCGGTGTGTGGCACCTTGCCAGCGAATTTTCCCTTTCTCTTGGTCTTCATTTCTTTTTCACTCTGGGGAATCATTCCTCGGACCATCACGCATCGTATTATTCGAAAAATCATCGCCATTATTATTATTTTAGAAAAGTTTACATTTATTGTCATGTTTGGAAAAATAGGGGATCATAACTTAACAGTGGGCATTTCCCGGTACAGTCGATAAGTTCTTTGTTTATAGGGCATTCATTGTTTTCAGGATGACGTAAAATATTTGCTGGCTGGTAATTACAGACCGAGAATAGTATAGATATTTAATATTTTAATAACAATCTCACTAAAATTATATACTATTATTATTTCTGTTTCTTTCTCCATCACGCTAACTTCATTTTTGCTTCCGAATTGAAGCTTTGTAATCGTTCAAATTTAAGTGTTGAATTTTTTGTGTTATATCGACCCAGTATGATCCAAAAAGTCAGGTAATGCCATTTTTAGACCTCGTCCATACGTGTGTGTGTATGTGTGCACGTCTGTAGCAAAGTTTGTCATCAATTGTTCGCTAATGAATTGATAGAATTGAACCTTTTCGTCAAATGCAGGTATTGTTGAGGCCTATCGATCGCCGTTAATTAAAATTTAATTCATCCATTAGTTTTTCTAATTTTCGAATTTGTTCGGAAATCGGTTGTCCCACGATAACTAAAAGAATGTTCTGAATTGACTGAATGGTGGCTTAAAAAATTGTTTGGATGTCTTTTTGACCGAGTTCGCAGATAAAGGCGATAGCAATAATCGTTATTTTGATTTATTTGAAAATTTGAAAATTTTGAGAAGCATATTGCTAATTTATTAGCAAAAGTAATTGTACTATATGCAATACAAGAGCAATTTCCCCCTCGTTTTGTCATACATTTCATTTTCTGTTCGGTTTAGAAGATGCCAAAAGAAAGGAAAATATTCAATTATTCATTCATCAAAAATATAGTAATGTCTTTTCGTATTTGCAGGA